TTAGAATCATAAATTACATCATCCTGTTTTTCGCACGTTTTCCTACTTTGATAATCAGTATATTTTGAGAATCATGTGACCTCCAGCAAAGAGCGTTCAATGAACCACGAAAACAAATCAAAGCAAATCCCCCTTGGACCTTGTCCCCTGGAGGTTTTATTAATTACCAGCTGCTCCATGACGCTTATTACTGCCAGCACATCGTAAAGAGAACACAATTAAAATCCACAGCAACCAGTCACTTTGCAACTCCAGTCGACCCAGAGGGACCTGCAGCACCTGTACACTTCATGAGACTGGAGGACAAACAGATAGCAGCACTGTATATGTATATTATGTGACTGTGTCAGGATGGTTGGCTTCTTCTCTGTCCTTGGTTGTGACCTTATGCAAGCTGATCTGAAGCAACATGAGCCATGCAGTGCCTCAACACACACACACACACACACACACACACTGTGTAATGTAGGCTTAATGTCAGTGACAGTCTTCTAAATACTAAAGCCAAAAAAGAACAGTAAAGGAAGAGAGAGAATGACATGAGAGGGATAGAAAATGGGAAGAGAAGAGTAAAAAAAGAGGGTGACAAAAAAGAAAGTGAAGAACAGAAAACTGAAGGTAAAAGGGAAGCTGTGGATGGCACAGGGAGGAGAAATGGATGTGGGTTGAAAAGCTAACAGAAAAAAGAAAATCTAAAAGGTATCAAAAAACATGGATGTAAGACAGAATGAGCGAAATAGGAAGAAGGAACAGGAGAGAGGAGGTGGATGGGAGGAAAGAGGATTGAGGAGTAGAGTGGTGGAGGGGGAGGATTAGCAGAAACAGGATGATGAGAGTGCAAAAGATGAAGAGGGTGAAAGCTGAGAGGTAGCAGCAGCATGGGAGCTCAACAGAGAGGTGGAGGTGGATGGAGAGAAGGATGAGCTGAAAGGAGAAGAGGAAGACAAAGAGGAGCAGAGTGACAGGGTGGTATGAAAGCTGAAAGTAAGTAGGGTAGCGTGAACATCTTAGAGAACAGCATGAAAACCGGAAATATAAGCCTCTGTGGACTAACCCTCCCTTACTTTAAGGTATTTAAATTCCAAGTACAAAGCGTAGTGCCTTTATAAAATCTTACAATAGAGGAAGTTTTTTAAATATCATCTGATTCTGACGACAATGTACTAACTGAACAGGTGCTCATATCTGCACAGCAGGATCAGCATCTTTTACCTTTGTGTGTGCTTAGAGTGATAGTCAAGATGATCACTATTCATAAACATATTTCAATGTGTTACACAATTACATGCTTCCTCTGTGCTACAATGCTAGCAGTGCAAGTGACACTAAGTCTTCCCCCTTGCATGAAGCATAAATGTGGCATTAGTGAATAGCCCCCAAAACATCTCACTTGGAGAGAGTATACAGTATACCATGCATATGGTTAATACTTCATTAAAAAGACTGTCCTAACAAAATGTGTGCGACCAGTGATTCCCATTACTATTCAAAGACAATGTTCAGTCTTCACTTGTCCCTGTCTGTGTCCTTGCAATGTGCCTCCATTGAAAACAAAAAACACTGCAGATATGCATTCATTTAATGAATATGTCACCTATAACAGAGTTGGGACCAGCTCACAATGCTATCAATCATTTCATTAATCATTCTGACACAAGACAGTCTAAGGCTACATTAGTGAGCCCTACAGACTCCAGTGTTCATTATACTCCTCACAATAGGACATGCCTAAAGGTTCCCTGTGGAGTTTAAGCTCTCCAGTAGCACTATGGAGCTGGTTTGCATTAGTTTTGTTTATCTTGTGAAGTGCACACGGATGCACATACACACGCTAGGGATGATGTAATACACAGTCCTGCACTATTTCAGTGATTAACAGGTGGTGGTGACATGGTGACAAGATATGCAGCATCATCCAGCAACAAAGGCAGGAAGAAGACTGCAAGCTAGTAAACATGGATGTAAACAATGCTGGATTTAAAATACTTAAAAAATTGGCCTGCTAATGTTTTATGAGGACGGACATGCACTGGATACACAATATGTTTTGATGAAAAGCACTGAATTTAAATATAACTTTGGTTTAGGACTGCACAATTAGTCGGAATATTATCGAAATTGGAATATGGTCAAGTGTAATATGCTAATTGCAAAAGCTGTAATTTTTTGATTATGGTAAAATGTGTGACAAAATATCATTATAATGAAGGACTGTAGTTCTGAAGAGATACCCTGGCCCACAAATGTTTATCATGATTTTAAGTTTCTTCATTGAAATTTGTGATGCAAAAATAATCATTCTCACACTGTTTGTGAATAATATCTTTCAAAATAATCACAATATGATGTTTTTACCATTGTGCAGCCCTACTTTTTAGTTGTAGTTTGTTCTGAGGGTGGCAGTAGAGACAATGTCATACTACTGAAACCATAAATGTGAGACCGTTCAGCCATTTATTGTGTGCAATGGAAAGATCTGGCCAGAAGGTGGCGCTTGGGGAAAGGACAGGATGTCACCAAAAACATTATGAATCATGTCAAGCTCTATGGACATGGGCTATCCAAAGGACATTTAATGGTTATCTGGACAGTAGTTGTTACATATATCTACTTTTCATCCATCACCACTAGCGGGACAAAAATGTGGAAAAAAACAGGGCCTTCATTAGACCATTTTTTTAATCAGCTTTAGATGTCTCATATATTTTCTTTCACATTGTCTGAAAGGTAATCTAATTTACTGAAGTGATTGAATTAAGAATGAACTGGCCCCAACTTTAATCTCATCACACAGTTTGAGACTTTTCAGAAAGAATCCTGAGCTACACACCACATACAGTACAAAGAATGCAGCATTTAGAGTAGTCACTGTACACACCGGAACCATGCATAGATAACATAGATTGTCACTGCTCATATTACAGTTGGCCTCATTTCAAACAAAGCACTGAGGTATTCCCATGGGTTTTTATATCAAAAATGTACCAATTCACATTCTAAGAGCTCTATTATGTGAAAAGGACATCCATGACCATGCACGTGTCTGAATGTACAGCTAATCAGGGGATTTACATTAGTGCTGTCACGATATACTGGTTTTCACCATTATACCAATATTTACAAATGTATAAAGAATATTTATACTGCTATTCACTGCAGCCATGATTCTGGTCCATTCCAACTGAGAATCAACTTTTTTTTTCAGTACTGCATCCATCTAGGCCCGTCACAATAACTACTTTTGTTATATATTACAATATATTAAAGCAATTCACTTTTAATTCTTAAGAATATTCAGACACTGGAATGTAAAAAAAAAATTAAATAGACATAAACAACAATAACATAAATAAAACAGCACAACCAAAACAATAAATTAATTGGACTCTCAGGCTCTGTAAAAAAAAAATTAGCAATAGAGTCATTCATTCCTTAAAAGCAAATATAGTATTGGTAGGGAAAACCCTGCTGTTTATTCTGGCACCATGTTGGATAAAAAGTTGGCATTCTGAAACTATAAGTATAGTATTGTGACAGCTGAAATTATATATTATATTATATAAAAATGATATATCGTACAATAAATCAACAATATAATTATTGTGACAGGCTTACATCCAACCAGTTTGTATTACATTAGTTTAGCAGAACAGCCTTCCATTAAAAATAACACGACAAAGAAAGGGTTTCAGAAGTCAGGTCAGACCTTGTTAATGGAGTATTTTTTGGTTTGCAGTGATATAGTCTTGCTTTGAAGAATTGTTTCATTCAATGTTGTGTTTTATGTCTGAGGGCAGTGTTGGAAATGGATGGTTGGATTGGTGTGTTTTGTAGATTCATAACCATCAATATTGTATTATTTATATTGAATAGGAACACTGAAGTTCCTTTGTCGTTATCGCTGGGTTGACCACACACACAGACACACACACACACACACACACAACTGGGAAGTTCACACATGCATACACACACCGCCTCCAGACTCTCTGTCTTCTCTCTGTGTTCATTTACACAGCCAACTACTATTCTATTTAACTGCCTATATTGCAGCTTTCCTGCTGTTCGTTCTGCATTTGCACAAAAGAGGATGTCCTTTTGAAGTTGGTAATTAAATGCTGTGAAGTGTTTAATATTATTTTTTAATATTTGTAATAACATTTTGTATTTTGTGTAGTATGGAAAGGTTATTAATATTGTGATATTTTGAGCCACAATAAAAGGGTTTAATTAAAATTTGATATCGTGACAGCTCTAATTCAGACATCAGGCCATGCGAGGCTACTTCTCCAGACAGAGGGAGAGATTAGAACACAGGGTGGTGTAGCTAGATAGAAGGAAGTGCTACTGGAGTCCTGCAGACAGAGGTGGGGCTGAGGCCTCCTGGGCATGTTGAAGCAGCAGCTGCATGGTGGTCAGCAGGTGTGAGATCCATCTTTTTCTCCCTCTCTCTCTCTCTTTTTGCTGGGTTGCAGAAGGTGAAGATGGAAGAAAGCTGCTGTGCATGGTCAGCCTGACGTCCGTCCCTCTTTCTCTGTTCTCTCTCTCTTAATGTTTCTCTCTCCTCATGGTAAGCGGAGGTGCAAGGCTTGTGAGAGGCCGGTGATTGGCTGGTGTGAGTGTTTAGATTGGAGATGGAGAGGCAGGAGGCGGAGGAGTCTTGGTGTGATGGAGGTCTACGGTCCAAACTGTTTATGACTACACTCTTAATCCACAGTCGTAGACTGACCCATAATGACTCAAGATATGTACACAGTTTCACAAATAGTGTGAAAACTAATACCATTTTCATCTATTGGTGTAACCTGAATCGAAGTTGGCTGGAATGGAGGGAAATGTGCCACTACAGAGAATTCAGACTAAAAACAGCATCCTACCTTCCACATCACAGGAATGAAAAAGAACCTCAAACCGTCCAGTGGTCATAGTTTCATTTTAGTGCAAGTATGAAAGAGAGACAAAATAGGATGAGAGACAGAGAGAGACAGTGTATTTCTTACCTCGTCTGACCAGGTAAGGTTTAGTGTAGTCCCAGCTCTCGTTGTCGTTCTTAATCACATTCAGACGTGTTGGCTGTTGACACAAAGATCACAAAGAATGAATCAGGATCCACATTAATGTTTAACAGGTTACAGGTTTCTTGTTCCACACCATTTACAGGGATACAAATATGTGAAGATTTAAATCAGTGAAATGAAAAATGAATTGTGATACTCAAGTCAGTAGCTGTATCAAGCCGCAAAAACATGAATCTGTGCTGCTGTTTCCTTGTGTAAAAAACATTGTTTAATCCTCGCCATATCCTGTTCTTTTCGAGCAACAGGCAAACGATGCTAGCTGGCTCAAACCCTTCTCATATAGGGGAAGAGTGTATAAAGCTGAGTTCATATGAGGTTCTTTTGCGAGAGCTCCCACGTGTTAATCTCTGGTTGTCACTTTTAGAAGTGTAGAGTCATACACTTCACAGATAAACCACAGAAATCCACATTTTCATGACACAATTACCACATAAAATGTTAGTTTCACTTCTTTCCTTCTGTCCATACACACACTCTCTCTCACTGTCTCACATGCCCAAACAGACACACTTTATCTTTCTCTCTCCCTCCATCTTTTTCTCACTCTTTTTTGGAGAGCTGGTCCATTGGCATTTAAATATCATCATCAAGAGTGGCGACCATGATGCCTTTAGGACACAGTTAAGCTTTAGTCACACTACATGACTCAAAGTTTCCATATGTCTGTACTGTTCACACAACACAACTTTCTGTCTTGTAATCAGGAGTCTTGAAGTTGTTGCGGTTTTTTTTACCAGATATTTAGCCTGCTAGATATTTTTCTGCAGTTGGTGCGGCATCTACAAGCTCTTGTCGAGCCTGAGGATGGCATTGTTGAACAGTTCACACAATGTGTGGGAGCCTTTTAAGTTTTTGTCGACAATCTCCAAAAATACTCGGCATGTATTGTAAAATCAGGGCAAGAATCATGTAGTGTAAACTGGGCTTTAAAGAAACTGGGTGTATATATCTACTGATAGGTTTGTTTTTCTGTTTGTTTCTCCCTTTCTTTTCTTTTACTACTGTTTATGCTTGCTTGTGTGTGTTGTGTATATAGACTGTTTGTGCTATGTGATTTATGTTTTGTTTTGTTTTGTGTTTTTGTTGAATGTAATTTTTTTTATTTTAATTTAGCAAAAATAGGGGAGAATGAGCCTTTCAGGCTTCCTTCCTCTCCCGCGCTGTAATTACTGTCTTCTATATGTATGTATGTATATTATTTTTGTTATCGGGAAAAGTTTCCAATCCAGAAAACCTAATTTTACATTTTACTGCGGCCAATAATCTAAGGGAAAATCTGGGATTGTGATTTAATTTTGAAGCCTTTCACCATTTCAAGAACGCTGTCATGGTCATACCATTTCTGTTGTGGGACAACTGTGAAAAACTTATTCATGCTATCATGTGTCCTGATTACTGTAATGCGCTGCTCACGGGGTGTCCCTAAAAACCTATAATTTAATTTATTTATGTGATTTTCTGGAGAAAACCTTGTCAATGCAGCATGTCAGTGCTAATCTCAATATTACAGAGTGACACCAGGCTTGTGACTGCTGATGTGTTTTGTGTTTCTTACCCTTGCATATTCAATCTTAAGTGTACAGCAACCAGCGTAGATGTCAGCCCCGTTCAGAGCAGCTTTGGCCTTCTGAGCGCACTGAACGGACTCAAACCTGGAGGAGTGGGGTCAAGGAGAGGACACTGCACATTCCAACACACAGATACACACAGCATGTAAAGACTCACACATTCACACACTCAATAAGGATACTCCACCATGGCCTGGATTCCATTCCGTTTAAAGATGACGATCCTCAGCACACTGCCGATGGGGTTACACACTGTGTACAGAACATCCTGGACCAAAATGAAAAAAAAAGAAAGATATTTAACATCATCTAAAAGTTTCTAATGCTGTGGTGTTTTAACCTGCATGAAGTGCAGGCCTCAGGCCACTTTGCATTTCATTAATACCATAAGGCTACTGCAGTTGGAAAGAGAGATATATAACTCCATGCTGATATACATTTTCTGTCTTGTTAGAAATAAATACTTTTCCAAGACACAAAACTTATATTCTTCAAAGAGTAATTATGGTTACAGCTGTTTAACATTCAACAAACAACAACATTCACAAATCAACACATTTGTAGCACAGTTTCTAGCACAAAGTTTTAGCTACTGTACATAGCTTACAGAAGAGTCAAAACTAACGTTACCAACAGGCCAGATGACAACGCTGGTAACCTTGTATTTTGGTCAATACCGTCTACAGATCTTTAAAAAATGTCAGTGTGTCAAGCAGAAATTAAATTTGCATTATTTTGGGTTTCCAAAAATCCAACAACATTTTTGTAAAGCTTCTTAAACCACTAATTCAGTCCCCTTCAAATTCAGCAAGAAAAGGAAGAAAAATGTTCCATATACCCACTGAGCAACAAACTTTATGAAGCACAAAGTCAAAAACTGACTGAAATCTGAGTAGTGAATTTTGCAAAACATTCTTGGATTGCCTGAATACATAACGATTAAACTGTTGCAACCTGAGGATGTATTGGATGAAAATTTGCCATCTAATGAACGGGTTACTGTTTAGTGAGTTTTCAAATAATTTAAAATTCCAGCCCATAAGGGACCCCAAGCCATTCAACCATTTGCTTGAACATTTTTTAATTTGGAATTCAAATGTATCGCATAGAATGTTGTTTATGATCTATGTAAGTTTAATGGTTAAAAAAACATATAGAAAAAAAACTATGATCAGCTATGATTTTGTTGCCAGCGGCACCTGTCATTTGCTCATGATTGACTTACTTTTCTGAGAAGGCAAATGGTGTTGGTAAGCTGTGTCTTGTACTGTACTGACCAAAAGTCTTAACCACATCAACTGTACTTTGAAGACATAATTTACATTTCACATTCATCAACATTTATAAGGCAAAAAAATTCCTTGGCAGTCACTGAGACACTAAATATAAACTCAGAGGGGCAGTATAGAGATAGATCGCGGGTAAAGAGAGAACAAGGAGCAAGTCTAGACGGACACTTACTGCTGTTAAGGGAAGCTAATAAATGGGGCGGCAGTAGCTAAGTGTGTAGGGACTTGGCTTGGGAACCGGAGGGTCACCGGTTCAAGTCCCCCAGACCACAAAATATGTGTGCACTGCTGAGTTGCCCTTGAGCAAGGCAACCTAACCCCGAAACCTCATCCTCATGGGATGAGGTTCCACCATCTCTCCGCTTTGCATGTCCACATGTGCATGAAGTGTGCATTTCAGCCTGTGTGTGTGTGTATGAAAGAGTGAAAAAAACAATCTTCCCCTAGGGGATCAATAAAGTATATCTTCTTAGGTGCTACACTCTGACACTGAAATGTTTGTACATAGAGTCAGATGGCACCCTTTAGTCCACTTACAACATATGAACAACAGTTTTTTAGACTTAAGTGTGTTCCTACATTCCAGGTAGCCACCGAAAATCCACTGGTAGGGATAATTATGATGTAGTGCAACCTGACTTGCACTTGTTGGTAATAAAATCATGCTATTAATCACCAAAGGTTTGACTATGAATATGAAAAATGTGTATAATATACTCTACATGTAGCATATTTTTAGTAATACATATACACGAATCCTGCCATCAGTTTGTGTGTTCTGCCATCTAGTAGCGCCACCATTACGGAGATGGCAAGTCGTAGTGACTGACTACTGCTGCCCACTGAGAGTGCCAGCAGCATGTGTCGTTAGGTTGACGACATTAGTTACCACTACTGTTGGAGCAGTTGATAACTGCACAACTTCTACCCCGTTACCAAGACAAAAAATAGCGTTACATAAAAAATCTAAGGAAAATTTGAAAATTTTACATTTCCTCGGTTATGCATGCATATTGTAGGGAGACAAAACCACAGTAATGAAGACTTGTTTACTTGCAGTACTTCCCCCGGATTCATGTATACTAAAATTGTTTTGTTTCTTTATTCTACTAATGATATGATAGTCCACATAGATGCAATTGTGTGTATTTACCGTGGTTATAGGATAGAGGGGATTCTGTATGGACAGCAGGAGGACCTTGTTGCCACTGTTGGGGTTGTCAGCATTGGTCGGCCTGGTGATTCTCTTGGATGTGGAGTAATTAAAGTAGGCCTGTTGGCCTGATAAACAGATTGTTGAGAATATTAGGGATGCACAATATTGATTTTGCCCAGTCTATATCAATAACCGATCATTTCACATTTTTGTATTTAAAAAAACAAACCTTTATAACCTGTAGCTTAAGCACACCTGAAGGTAAGAAAGGCTTTGATGTAGAACAGATATGGATGATTCAATATTCCACAGCTCTGTTCTAACCAAATCTAAATTACATCACTATTGTTAACAACAACAACAACAACAACAACTCTTCAAATTTATGTTTTCTAGTAAAGAATATCATCGACTGATCATTTATCAACTATATTTTTATTATCGCAACAATACACTGATATATATAGTGGGATACTGTGTGTGGTCATGAAGTATGACGTAACAAATCAGCTAGGGATCCAACCTGCAATGTAAACAGGCTCCTTGGCTCCACAGGAAACACAACGGTCGGCGCTCTCGACTGCTGAGAATTCCACCAGGGCCTGGCGCTTGAATGGCATCATCATCACATAACTGAGAACACACACATACACACAAACATTAAGACAGGACATACACATGCTATTCATTCAGATCTTTTCCAGCTAATGGGTTTAAACTGGACACATCACCTGTTCTGCCAGCCACACTGGTTTTCCACTTTTTGGCAACATCTCAGAACAGCTGATTGTGTTTCAAACTGTTGAGTCTCAACAGATCTGAATAGGAACAGATCGTTTTTGTGCTACTGATAATTTAAACCAAGGGCACAGTAGGTCCTTCCCAACCCCAGTAAGGAGTCCACCAACAAAAGACAAAACAATGTGAGCCAAATCAGTGCAATAAGATAATATGTGTGTAAAAAATTACGTGTTTGTGTGTCTATCACGGTATGCTTTTCCCTGCATCTCTATTCAGGTGAGTGAGAGGTTAATGAATACTGCACCATGCGAGGAGTGTAAATAATGGAGAAGGAGTCGTTTAGAGTGGAAACTGCAGTATCACAAAATGTTTCCTTCAATTATTCAGCATCTGTAACTATCTTTACACTAGAGCTACTGAAGCTCCCTGTAGTTTATTACACTGTATTACTTCATTTGCCCATCATAAATATTTATTCATGTCCAAATGTTCATGGGTGTTTTTTGCTCTTTAAAAAGTGTGATTGTTATTGATGATGATATTGGTGTTTATTGATGATAGATGCTACTATCTGCATGGTGATGATACATCAAGGACCACAGGAGATAAAACTTATATCATCCTTGATGTTTCTGAGTTAAATCTTGAGAATTGACGCATTTAACCCCCGTTTTATTCCTACTTCTTTAAAGATGCAGGTTCATGATGAAGTGTCTCAGGTTCATTACAGTTAGGTGGTCAGTGTTTCAGACACACCACCTTAATTTGCAGGTTTTTCTCCTGCATACTCTCCAGTGAATTGACTACAGTTTACTACATTTTTCCTCAAATCTTAACGTTTCTTTGGCCACAACCCACAAGTAATGGTACAGAAAGTACAGAAAATGTAATCTTCTTACCTATTAGCGTATTAAAGAAGAAGTAGAGAGTGTTTGTTGCACATACGATTAACATTGCTGTGCATGTATTTAATAACCACAACAAATTTGACTCAAAATATTAGACAGGACAGCATAGATTATTTCCAGGATATTTTGTCATTTTAATACTTTTTCAGGTGTTTCCATGACTGGAAAACTAGTCTCTAATTGTCAGAATGTGTGGGAACCGTAATTATTCATATGATATGTGTAAAAGTTAAACTCCAGAGAAAAGGTGCCACTCTGTTGGTCTAAAAACACTGTTTTTTAAACTATGGTATGTGTACAACTGGTGGTACAGTGTAAAAAGTTTAAGAAACAGTGGTCTAAAAAAAACTACAAAAACACTAAGCAGAGACATTAAGCAACAATCTATGCCAGATATAAATGAGCAGCCTGCTAATCTAAAGGTGTTGTTCGTTAATCTTTGCTAAATAGGAGGAGGGAGGAGAGATAACCCATCTGATAACAGATCTGTTAGTCAGAGTTTCTTCTCTTTCACATGCACTGAAATGCTCAAACTGTACTGCCTCCCAGTAACCTTCTGTTCTCTCTGGTGCAGATATTAGCCTGCAAACCTCACCAAGATCAACAGTTATTTTAAGGGCCTCTAAAACTGTCTGGTCAGTGTGATTGTGTTCTCTCTTTCTCTACAGATGTGTCAGCCCTGTGACTGACTGGTGAGGTGTCCATGGTGCTCACTCCAGACGCCGACAACCTGCAACAGTTTAGAGATTGGATGGGTGACTGTCTCACCATATGGGTCCAAACTTCTCCAGGGCATCTATCAGGTCTGCTTCCACCACGGCCTCACACAGACCCCTGACATGGACCACAGGGCTGGGAGAGATACGATGGGAGTCCTCACCATTATCCTGCAACACACACACAGTCACAGTTACAGACTAAGCTGTGAGTCCTGCACCGGCTCGGGTAACCACAAGTACCCGCCGGGTAACCTGCAAAAACATTGTGTAACAGGTAAAGTGATGAATGAACAAAATGTAGGCAGGCAGCAGGTGAGAAGAAAAATGTAGTTTTTCTAGAGAAATCAGAAATGAAAGTGAGCAGTTTGCAATGTGCAAGCTATTTTTAACATCTAAATCAGCTAGATATTGTCAATCCTAATCAGCCAACACGATCTTTTTTATTGTAAAAGCTGCAAGCTCGCACTTCCTGTCTGAGGAAACATACAGCTGCAGCAGATGCACAGGTGCAAGTTGACAATAGACTTTCCCAAGAACACAACTCTTGTGCCGGGACATCAAATTTGTGTGTGAAGATTGATTCAGCAAAGTGGCACAGCGTTTGATCAACGTTGGGACGCAGCCACACCGTAGGGAGTTGGTGGTGGATTCAAGACAGACTGCAGTTAATTGTGAGTTGAATTTACGTTTCTGCATGTCACACTTCTATCTGTGCAAGTAAAAATAGGTAGCATGTGTGCTTAATCACAGTTTCACAGCCAATCTGAGTATTGTAATGTGCATTTCTTCAAGGCCACAGTCCACCCAACATTCAACAGCAAATAGCAGGATAACGCTCCATATCAACATATCGCACTTTAAGCTGCTGCCACCAACAGAGCACCTTTGGGATGTGGCCGTACGGGAGATTTGCAGCATGTCAACATGGAGCAGAATCTCTAAGGGATGTTTCAAGTACCTTGTTGAATCCAGGCTACCAACAATTCAGACTGTTGTGGCCCCTAGGGGCAAAGGCAGTCCTGCCCAGTATTAGTATCAATAAAGTGGCCACTTATGTTTACCAGTGTAAGCAGTGTAGAGAAATTAATGAGCCAAAAGCTTTCTAACCCAGTCTGAAAGGGATGTAACTTATTATTCAGTCATTCACTACATATCCAGCCAGTCAGCTTAGAATTACTTAGCAAAACAATTGACTTCTGTCTGTGAGAAAATGAACCAGTGGAAGTTTGAAGTGGTTCCAGTTCTCCCAGTGTTTCAGCTTGAATAAATCCAGGACATTGATGACAAGCAGGAAATCAGTGGTCACTAAAGAGCAGCAGTGCTGGCAAAAGCCCACGTTGTGACACAAGAGGACGGTCAGTTATGAATATAGAGTATTCTTGAGGAGGGAGAGCATGTAAAAGGGAATTCCCATTAAAGCTTAACACTTCAATCTTATCTTTTCTTATCTTTTCTATCGCCCTCAGATATTCTGACTCTTTTAAACTTTAGTCTCCTCACTCTGTTGCTTGTAACATTCTCAGTCTATTATCCATCCCTTCTCTTCCCGTCCCTCTTTTTGTCCTTCTCTTTCACATTGACATTCCTTTGAGTCTATTTATAGAGGCCGGGGCTCATCCTAGTGTTAGGCATGAGACTTACTTTTCCTTCTGTTGACCAAGCTGCTGGCTTCTCTGTTTCAGGCATGTTAGTATTATTTATATACAGACATGGCACGTCCATTATGAAGATTTCACCTGGCATTTACATCCTTTTATCAGTGTGTTCTTTCCATTGTCCCCAGCTGTAAATTGATTGCTTTGATATAGTGTTGATAACACTAAAGATTTCTGTGGATCTGAGTAAATATGACAATATTTACTTAGTCATGTCAGAGGTGATTATTATATGTTCTGTATTATTTAAAATGTTCCTTAAATGAGTTTTATTGACATATCTCTACTGTTTTTGCATACCCTTGTTTTTCTTATATCTATACCCAAGTGTTCTTAGCTGGGCCCTATTCATTAACCAGTATACAGGACCATGATCAGACACATTAGTACCGCAAAACATGGAAATTAGCATCTCTTTCCGAGTTCTTACCAGAGATCTAGTGTGGCCAATAATGCACAGTGGAGCACCAACAATGTGTCATTCCAAATAATGCAATAAAAACCTCCAAACAGCTAGACTGCTTCAGGCTTTACACAGTTCAGGGAAACCGCAACATGCTTGTTGCTTCATACGGCAGGTTAGGTATAGAAAAATGTCCTTGCCTTTATGTGAGGTTAGCCTACTGCTACTTTTCTGATGCTTCTTGCATAGATTTATGATAGTGGATTAGCATCGACTCTGTTATGTGGAAGTGTCTAACCGTTGACAGATCAAACTGTCAAACTATCACGATAGGTTCACAATTCTAACGTAGTCTTACTATACTGTATTATTAGTCTTCAAAATAAGAATATAAAAACTCAATACCTGTATGTGCATTTTATAAGACAATGATCACATAAGGGTGTATTATTAATTTCAGCTCTGAGTCTTTTCATCTTGTTGTAACTACAAGGATTATGGTTCCCCTGTATTTTTAATGGCAGTGTTTTATCTGACATTTGGACTTTTGTTTTGTGCAGTATCCCTGTCTTCTACAATCCCTCTGAGTCTTCATGTTCTAAAGCAGCAGTGCAGTCTGAAAATATCATCTCTCCATGCTGCAGAACACCGACTGGACAGCCGCCATCTTCCCACTGCTCTCAGCTAAACATGAAGCCTTGCTCTTACTCATCCACTTTCACACTAACACAAATAGCTAACACTTGAATTCCCCTTGCAACAGGAAATGTTCTTCATTTGGATTTAGAACAGAATTTAGATAGGACTTGAAAGCCCGGTTTCTCATTAATAACAAACTAAGAGGCTGAGTAGTTGTGCAATGTTTGGTGTTGTAATTGGTGTTGCTAGGGCCAGAAACTAAAAAACATTATTAGACCACAAAGTGCTGATTCAAGGTTACATTTAACTAAGGTTATATAACTGTCACTTCCGCTAGAAAACTTTAACTTAGCACAAATGCTAAAAGCTAAAAAGTACATTAACTTCTGTTTCCCTGGGTCCTCTTCCTGAGTGCTAAGTGCTCAGTTTAACTGATTCTTGATGATTTCTGGCTTTAAGATTATCTGGAGATCATCACAATAAGTCAAATCCTGCTAAAGTGAAGGCTGATGCTGAGCTAGAATTTTCAAGTTGATCTCCTTTCCTTGAAGAAACCAAAAGAAAAAAAATATATAGATAATTATGATTTTGTATTTCAATTTTCTTAGTAAAGTTCATGTGTATAATCAATTAATTCAATTCAATTCAATTTTATTTGTATAGCGCCAATTCATAACAGAAGTTATCTCAGGACACCTTTTCAAATAGAGCAGGTCTAGAC